TTGGGGGGGGGGTGTCCTGTTTCGTCGTGGTTCAGGTTCGTTTTGCTGGTGAAAAAGGGCGCCCTCGAAGGAAGTGAGGGGCGGTTGCGAGGGGCGAGGTTATCGGCAGGCTTTCGGGAGGAGACATATAGCTGGAAGTGGTGAAGTTGATATTGCAGCCACTGGAGCGTGCGAGAGGAAGGGAGTGGCTGACATCGGGCAAAGCATACGTTTAGGTGGTGAAGCTGACATCGTAGCCACTCTCATAGGAGGTAGAACCAGAAAGTATAGTACACAGGTTTGCTGTGCATACGAAACGTGTGTCTCGGCCCCTGGTGATGCGGGGGTCGGCCACGCGAAAACGCGAAAACCGCGGAAACAAAGTGCTTGGATTTGACACGGCTCACGGTTATCTCGAACACCGCGTCGGCGCGAAAACGGCAAAAACCGCGAAAACGGCGAAAAACCAAGAAAACATCGTTCGTATCCTCGAACGACCGAGGTCCCTGCCATCTTGTTCATGCGAGTCGTGGGTGGAGGTGTTGGGTCTGCTTCCTCGTTCAAGAACAAGGCCAGCAAGGTGCTGCGTCTGGAGAATCTTTGAACGCGATCGATGATCGGCAAGACCAAGCAGTACCCTGGCTTTGTGTTGCACTTGATGCGTGCATTGAAGTATATTGATGTTGAAGTGTTTGGGGCATGATCATGTTGCTAAAAGTAAGAGCCTGTTGGAGTGGAGTCAGAAAAGCATGCCCGAGATTGATCTGGGATTGGAAGTTGTTGTCTTGATTTTGATGATTCGGGAATGGTGGTTGTCGCAACGACTATTATAAAACTAGTGCTTGGACTTATAGGGTGTATATATATATATATTGTACCCCCCAAAGATCTACAATTTTTGCTTGTTTCACGGTTGTGGATGCTCATCCATCATTTTATTGAAAGGGGAGTACCATGTATATATATATATATACATGTCTTATTGCACGCTAACTGTTGAGATGCTCACTGCACATCATTGGTTGCAGGGAAGTACGCGTACTGTACGCGTACAATGGTCAATGTTTACTGTACGCTAACTGTTGTGATGCTCACTGCACATCATCGGTCGCAGGGGAGTACGCGTACTGTACGCATACAATGGTCAAACCAAGAAACCAAGAACCAAGATTGCACAGATCTATGAAAATGAATCTTGGTTTGGGGTGTGTCCTTTGAGACACATTGACTGTCAAACCAAGATCCCTGACAAGAGCTGTGTGCAATCTTGGTTCTTGGTTTCTTGGTTTGACCACTGTACTCGTGCGGTACGCATACAAATGAATCTTGGTTTGGGGTGTGTCCTTTGAGACCCAGCTCATCCAACTTGTGTAATGTGCGTTGGCTGCATCAAACCAAGACTCCTGACAAGAGTTGCGTGCAATCTTGTCTTTTTTGTTTTGTTGGTTTGAGCAATGTACGCGTACAAATGCGTTTGTACGCGTACTTTCCTGAAACCATCATGCAGTCAGCATCTCAAGAGTCATCATGCAATAAGACATGACGATATCAAAGTATGACATGACTATAGTCCCATCAGGTTATTTTGATGAAAACATTGTAGGACTATAGTCCCATCAGGTAAGTTTGATTAAAAAGATTGATACAACAAAACTGATAGAGATTGACAGGGCTAAAGCCTTTACATGGGCATTTACACAGACTAAAATCATACCAGTTTTTTATGAGTTTGATAGTTGTAACCATTACAGGGATGACATTGACATCAGCAAGTTATCTAGTTTTACATTGTATACGGTGGAAGTGAAGGCATCAAATGTTTTTCAATAAGAGGTGTAACTTAATATATGGAAAGTGTTTAAGAAAACTATTGGAAGCAAAAAAAGAAAATACTTTGTTACACAATTCATTCATTCATTAGGTCAGTGATGACCAGACTGTTAATGAACTATGGGAAACAGATCTTACTAAAGATGACAAAAAGACAATAGGAACCATCGCAACACCGCACAGGAGCCATCATTTTTCAATGAATGAAGCATAATCATATTTTCAGAAAATGATATTATGGTCTATTCACTGGAGAGTGATGCCTTCTGGATCCATGAAGACGATTTGACTAGAGCGATGGGCGAACCAAATCGTTTTATAAAATCATACCAGACTGGAATATTGAACTTTGAAGAAGGCATAGGCAAGTGGAGACTGACAAACAAATCAATCAAATTTCCAACCAATAAGTACATATTTTGATATAATGACTTAATTGAAATTCCAAAACTAGAAAATGAACCAACAGAGGTGGTGGATGAATGGGACACCCCCGGAATATGTAAGCAAATTGAAAAACAAAACCATGCATGATCAGATCAAAATTTGCTGGATGGGGCAAAAGTTACATAGGTCAAACAAGTTTTGTTTGTAGCGCCTCATAACCGGTTAAGGCAAAAAAAGAAGGTGACGCAACAACCCACAACATTTTTAAGAAGTCCAGTTCCTAAGGGGATGAAGTACCAGAGTTTGATCATAGCAATTTTGATGTCATCTTCTTTGATGAAATCTATATGACCAATCCTGTAAAATTTAAAACTTTACTGAAAAACACAAGGGCAATAAAATCATCATAGGCACCGGTGATACAAAACAGAAAGAACGAATCAATGATTTAACTAACACCCAGTCAAAGACCACAATATGGTCAAAATTATGCAATTCAATTTGTTCTCTGAAATCAGTGAAATTGTCCAAAAGGTTCACCTGATATCTGAAAATATCACTCAAACAGGCATGCAACAGGCAAAAATGGTAGATCTTTGGGGGGTAGCTATATATATATATAAGAGACATCCAAGGTTGGACGCTATATAGGCGCCTCCTGCCACATCCTGTTGTTGGGCCTCTTTTGAGTTGAAAACATTCGAAAGTGGCGAAGACCGCGAAAACGACGACTGCGCGAAAACGGCGAAAACGACAAAAACGCGCAAACGGCGAAACCCGCGAAAACGACGAACGTGGGAAAACGGCGAAAACGGGCTAACGGCGAAAACAGTTTTCTTGCTTTTCTCGTTTTCCCGGTTTTCTTGGTTGCGGCTTTCACGCTCAAAGACAAGACAAGCAAGAAGACGTAAGAAAACTGGAAAAAGCTTCCACACGGCAAAACGCTAAAACGGTTTTCTCGGTTTTGCCGTCGCATCGCGCTGGCCACGACGCAGGTTTTGTGAACACAGGTTTGGGGGGTGCCCTTTTTCGTCGTGGTTCGGGCTCGTTTTGGAGGTGAAAAAGGGCACCCTCGAAGGAAGTGAGGGGCGGTAGCTTGCTGTGTGGTGCAAATCAAAGCTTGCCTGCTGCATTTTGTTCTCTTTCCTGCCTTCAACGGACCACAGCATTACATGAGCTCGCGCCCTGTATAGGGTGCCCTTTTGCGTATAGTTGACAGGCGTCTTCACCGTTACAAAAAAAGGCACCCCCAAGCAACTCTAACATTTCGTGCAAGCCCTCTTTTCCTACCACGTCCTCCTACGCTATGCCCGTCTTCCACCTTCCCCACAGCATTCTGGTTCCTCACAGACAATGAATGTCTTAAGAGACACACACGTCCCTTTCCCCACTTGTCGAACTCCCTTTTCTGCAACCACTTTTAGCGCCCCATTGTCCTTGCTTTCCTATCATTGACATGAACTCCCACCCCTGGTAGAAAACAGTTTACCTTGCCTCCTGAGCCCTTCGTGATGCTAATGATGCACTACTGGCCGTCAATTACATCACCGGCATCACAACACCACCCAAAACTACTCATTTTCACTACCAAGTGGCCACCTCTTTTTTTCGCTCTCCCTCACCAGGCTCTGGGTCAGCCTCTCTCGCAACCACCCCCCGCCACACCCCTTTACTCACTTCGTTCGCATAGCTACCTCAAGCCTTGCCTATCGGCTGGCGCTGACTCTCGTGATAGTTATATGTAAAATAATATCAGAACCATAACAACAATATCGGGTTCCGCATCACAGCAAATCAACCAAAAGTTAAACCCTGAACAGGACAAAGAACAGCTATACATGACTTTGGCATGTGAGCGCGATGCAGCGCACATACGAGAAAACCGAAATCACCCGGAATTAGACGGAGGCACCATCAGCATACTCAAGCAAGGCACACCACCGCTGTAGAATGTAGAAAGCGTTGGGTGTGTTCCCAAAATTCACAAGCCATGAAACATGAAAACGGACGACACTCACACACAAAAAGCTTACATTGGGTGAAGAAGACTTACAATTATATACAATGTTGAAATGGGCCCTGAGGAATTGCGGATTGAAAAGTCACAAGAACCACCGGCGCGGGGCTCCGCTACGTAGCCACTAGTCCCAGCCACTCAGAACAGACTCGTGAGCTGTGTTAAAAGCTTGGTGAAAACAGATTTTGAGAAGAAACAATAAGCTACTAGGAACAAGTGCATCGCTAGTAGTAACAAGTGCCTTACTAGTAGTAACAAGAAGCTATTAGCTTATTGTTTCTACTAGCTTCTTGTTACTACTAGTAAGGCACTTGTTACTACTAGCGATGCACTTGTTACTACTAAGAAAAAAACATTGTCAACTCGTTCACTTCTTCGCCTCTCGCGTTCGCAAAGCTCGTGAACTGTGAAGAGCTCTTTTCAAATTACCGGGGGGCCTTGGCGAGCCTAAGTGCCACACATTGTGAGAGAAGGAACCCAAAGCCTTCTTCGAAAGAATTTCTTGTGAACGCCATGATGTGACCTTCCTAACAGGCAAGGCATATTCTTCAAACAGCATTCTTGTTCGCAAAAGGGGACGTCCAAACTCCTAAAGCCTTCTGGACCTGAGAGTTCCCAGTCGACCCCGAAAGAGCAGCCAAAAGAGCCGAAGGAAAGAGCCGAAACAAAACGAACATCGCGGGGAGACATCGCTCGCTGTTCTGTCTACTTGTTCTATTCTAGCTACCTAGGCGGCCTACCCTCCTGGTTTAGAGACTTCGTTCGTTCCTCGATGTCCTGACCCCGCCTCGTTGGCCAAAGAAATGGCCAAACCTCAAGCGCTCGGCTGCGTTCGTTACATTGGAAACACACATTCCTGACGAAAATCAGTTGGTTGATTCAAATCCGGTGTATTCTAATCTTGTAGCTACTACTAACAAGTGCATCGCTTCTAGTAACAAGTGCCTTACTAGTAGTAACAAGAAGCTATTAGAAACAAGAATTCTATAAGCCAAAAGGTGACCAGGATTATTTACTCGTGTATTTAATCTCTTATGCTCCTGCGTGATCCAACGCCTTGGAAAAGCAATACCTCTTCGCAGAGTTGGGAACAACCTCACGCTATGTACCTGAATGTAGTGCCTCTAGGTCCAGATTTGCGATTGGATAGACTTGGAGTTAGTTCTGCCACCAACGCCAACCAAAACAAGCGAGCCAAACAAGGCCACAAACTATCAACGAACAGGTCAGCTTCCTGGTGATGGGAACTGATGCAGTCCAAACACGCAGGCATCCAATTGGTTGCCATGAATTCACAAGAACAAACAGCATGACTGCACTTTGACCTGAGCATCTTGTCACCTGAGAATGCAGCTGTTGTAAGATTCCACTGTGGCGTCAACCTGCGAATTGAGTTTCTTCAGTTCGTGTCAGTCCGCGTACGCAAGAAATATCCTACGAGCGTGTCGCGTGCTTAATATGCAATAGGGCCTGCTCTTCTGCATCTGTGTATGGCTGCTTCGACTTTTTTATGGCCTCCACCTGCAGAAGAAATGTTCGACTACATAAGGTGCACTAGCAAATACCGCGATTGAAACCTTGGTAAAAACAGAGTGCTGCACTTCAAACATTATGAGAGAGCAAGGGCATTGACTGCACCTGAGGGATGTCCTCCTGAACCCGCGCAAGCCTACAGCAACACCATGAAAGCACACGACTTGTGACAAATGGACATGCCATAATCTGGACAAGGCATGTCGCGCACTTGTCTCTTCTGAGACGTGCCAATATTTGATCAAGTGGCTTCAGATCGGATAGATAAGACTGGTAATAGCCAGTGGCATCTGTTTCAAGACGCTCAACTTCCCTCCTGCGCAAGACTCGGAACAAACTCGGAGCTTCTTTGAATTCGTAGGCTTCGTAGGTTCTATGGTCCTTGCAGACTTTGAAGCAGCCTGGTAGGACCTCCAGTTGCAACTCGCAAAAGAAGTCTTGGATGCAAGAGTTTGAACTTGGTAGCCCCCTGCTGATCTTCCACTGTCTTCAACAGCTCCTCCATTTATCTCCAAAAAGCTCAAAACATGAGATAAAACGAACGTGTTTGGGATCCTTAATAATGTCACCCTTTTTGGTCCGGATCCGGCTTAAACACCTTGGTTTTTGGCTCTCGTGTTTAGCATTTTTTAGCAGCTTGGCTTAGTTTGACAAATCTTCAAAATTGGCTCCTCAGCTTTCTTTTGAGCATCCTCTGCTGTCTTGAGCGCCCTGAGTCAGCATGTCCCCACGCTTCCGTGCTATTTTTGCAGCCAAATTTTTAGAACTGAATAAATACTCCAAGTATCTCCAAGTTGACTCTACTGATTGCACATCACAGCCCCTTTTGGCAATATCACATCTTTGGTGTGAAGGAGTCTGCATATGTCCATTCTAAGCTTCACACTTCTTGGCTCTCTTTTCTGCATCGTCTGCCTTGCCCAAGTTGATAATCGCACAATCTTTAAGCTGCAATTTGCGTGATTCTAAGTGGAACTTCTACTTCTCGACATATTGAGGATTTGAAGACTCCTACACGGCAGCACTTATGCAGCTTGCAGTTCACTTTGTCCAAACAAGTCTCGTTGATCCTCCGTGGGTACCAACCGGTTTGGATGAAAGAACGAAATGAGAACAACTGGTGGACAGGAGTAAGGAGAACATGATTTCATCCATGCCCTCACTGCCGATGTGAATCTCAACAGGAATTGCCCAATATGTTTTTCAATCGATGGCCAAGGGTTCAGTGTTCAGTTCCACTCTTCTAAACACACAAAATATCAGATATCGATAGATAGATATCGTAGAGATTCATGGAAAGTGAAAAAACAACGAGCGCTTCACACGCAGATCACGAGCTTCGCCTTTGAAGAGAGTTGAGGCAAAGACTCCTTCAGTAGCTTAATATGGCCTCGATCGCAAAGAAAAACACTCAAAGTTTGCGTTTGTTTTGAGTAGCGGCCTACAGATCTTTCAGCTTTGTCCACAGCATCGCTTGCTGATTCTGACGCCTGAGTTGTTTGGTCAACGAACCTTCCACTTAAAGCAGCAAACGAACGCTGCTTGTCGTCGCCTCCTTTGCTTCGCGGACTGCCTCAGAGACGACCTGGCTAAACATTCATCGAAACTTCCAAAGTTCAATGTATTTTCATTTTGTCTGGCACTCAATGTCGTGAAAATGTGTAATGTCATTCTGCAAGCCTGCGGAACAAACTCTCCGGTGCTTCCTGCAAAGACACGGCTGTACACTTCCGAGCTGAAAGAAACAATGGTGTTTGCAAAAAGCCGATCTCCTGCACCAACGCAAGCCAAACACAAGGGCAAAATTGCATGAGCCTTTCAGTCGAGCGTCTGCTGCGTTGGTCTGGTTTGACTTAACATCCAAAGCAGTGAGCGCAAAGGTTGAGGCCACAACAAGCTGCATGCTGCACACTACATTGAACTTGGGCCGATAAGCTTTGTGTACAACACTGGCACATACTCCCCATGCAATGGCTGCAAGGGCCTTAGATTTGCAAACCCCGAACACTGGATTCAGTCTGGATGACACTAGCTATGGATCAATGTAGTGAAAATTGCAAACACCAATGCCGCATGCTATACGAGATTCGAAGGACAAAACGATCTGAAAGGGTCATAAACAAGGCTTGCGCAACAACAGTCTTGCCACAGATTGACTGACAACGCATCACGGCAGCCTGACAAGACAAGTCTTTCCGGGCTTTAAATTGGCCAGGCCTTCATGGAATTAGCGACCAGACTTTGTCAACCGCAGCCTGAGTCTTGAGGCTGGTTGCAGTGGTGCTGGGCATTCTTGGGAGTTTCTCAAAAGCAGAAAAGGCGAAGAACTTCGACATTCATATCTTGTCGTCGTCCTGCGACAAGTCCGTAAAGCACCATCTTAAGACTAAAACACTCTGTTTCCCACAACGGAAAGTGTCAAGGGCGAACTAAGTAAGAGCCCTCATCTCTTTGGACTTGTCCGGACTGTCCAGGACGCCTGGGACTTTACAGTCTTTGGACTATTGGGTTGGAGGCCATCGCTTGGAGGCCATAAAGAACTTGATCACTGCATTGCATCGAACTTGGTGCCCTCTGGGCGCACCGGCACAAACTTTGTCAACAATTCTGTAACGGTCAAAATTGTTCCAGTACCGTAGATATGGAACGAGACCACTGGAAACAAAAGTCGCACACATGAAGGACTACTGTTGTAAGAGGTAGGCCAAATGAACCTACACCAATCTTGCCGATCTTGTCATTCTTGTTTGATTGTAGGCATTGACATGTTGGAATCGTCCAATGTTCTGAAACAAAATTTGGCAGCAACACATATAGAACTTGCAAGTATGGAATAGGGTATGGAAGGACATATTCACACCCAATCGTTCCATACTCAATATGTCTGACTCAAGGCTGGTTGTTCATACCCGAAACCCAACATATCCCCAAATCCCTTGCTCCATACACAAACTACCCTTTGACTCGTGGCCATGCATGGTCGAAAACAATTTGCGTTTGACGGGATCCGCTTAAAACAAACAACAGCCCCTACCAAATGCACACAGGTTTTAACAAACATGTCGAATTTGGTCGCTGGGAGAAGAGAAACTGTGCTCTCGATCTAAACAACTTGACAAAGGCCGGCCCAATCAGACCGGTAAGTGCAGGCATACTACACAGGATCCTGGATCATCGAATCAAATGTCTTGCATTGTCTTGCAACACTACATGATTATATATATATAACAAGTCAGACAGGCCGTAGACTTCGAGGGTCGAGGTGGCTGGGCTCAACCCTAGCGGCCCTACGGAAGACACTTTATGCTTCCACCTTCCACTTCGAGTGGGTCAAGATGTGTCAAGTGCAGGGAGGGTATCAAATGGAGAACTGTACAGAGGAGGAAAAGCAGCTTTGGGTATTTGCCTTCTGGAAGTTCAACGTGACTTTTCGTGCGGTCAATTTTTGTGAGTGAGGCATCACGCGTCACGATTTTAAAACCAATGTCGTCTATAGAGACATTCAGAATTCCCAAGGAGCACATTGTTCTTGGAAGGTTTGAATGTTTCTTCCTCGAAGCGTTTGAACTTCAAAGGTGCGAAACTTGAGAGGACAGCGTTGAGGCTCTTGTTACTAGCTTCTTGCTACTAGTAGCGATGCCAGGGTAGCATCCTTGCTCCTAGCAAGGCCAGGAGCCCCTAGTAGCTGCTTGGTAGTCTTTGTCAAGCAAGGGACCGCCATAGGGCCTGACTCCTTCTGGTGGATTCTAAACGCCGCGTCGTGTGAATGTTCTCCACACATCAAATACAGCGGAGGCACACTCAGTTTTTGAAATGAACAATGAATGATATAATCCAATTTCATTTTTGACCAGCGCCAATTATGTCCTGATTGGGAATCAAGATCAGTTGTAGTCAAAGTGAACTTTTTTCCACTAAGTCGCAAAGCCTCAAACAATCCGTGTCGAAAACATAAAAACACATTCAAACACCATTCTACTGCGCCATTTGCACACTGATAGGTTTTTTTTCTGGAAGCTCTTTCTGCCAGATCATCTCAAAAGCTGGTTCGGCTGGGTGTTTCTTGTTGAGTTGTGTTTGATTGTGACATCATCACACAAACTGTCACAAAGTTTAGAATGACGGTTTGCATGTTGTCAGCGTCCCGAAAGCACCAGTCGCATCCAGTCGCTTGGTACCCACCCGCTCGCCCACACTTTGGTCCTTGCATCTCTACGCCAGCTAGTCTGAGCAAATGGCGGATCAGTTTCGAAAAAAGGGTTTGGAGATTTTCCGGTTTTGCACTCTAGTTTCCCGAGCGAGTTTGGCCGACACATGATTGGGTTCCCTTTTTGCTTGAATTTATTACATCTTCAAAGGCCTATCTTCTGTTCCTGGAGCTTTTGCCATGATGGAATTCCCCTGTATGATATTCTATTTATTAATGTAATATTACAAAACTTGGTGCCAACCATCTTTAGCCACAATGTGTTAAAACCATTACAAGATATTATTACAAGTTTGAATCTCGCACGGTTCCTTTTCACAGCAGCGAATCAGCTCAA